CTTTTAAGTTGTCGGCAGCTTTCCCTTTACAGATTCATGAGCAAGCCTTTCTTCCTTTAACAATTAAGTTTAGCTAGCTGAACTGAATAGCCCTTGAAAAATGGCTTACAGAAGCAACAAAAACCTGAAAAAGATAAAGGAAGGTCAGCACCATAAATGAGTCACAAAGGCAAGTAAGAGAATAGACGTTTACCTGAGCCAAACCTTCCAAGACAATGTCAATAATGCCCTTGGTGCCCCGAGCACCCACCTACCTGATCTCTATAGGGAACACAAATCTCCCAAGTCTTTCTCTAACGATTCGCACGTCATCTAGCATGAACACCATCCGAAAGCCTGCCTCTGTAAAAGTCCCTGCCAGAGAATTGGATTTATGGGGCATAGAAGGAACAGTCGCCTGGGGAGCCTTTGGAGGGGCAGTCATCTCTTGAACAGTAACTAAAGGAACCTCTAGAGGAATCACTAAAAAAGCTATTTGGGGAGGAGCCATTGGAAAGGTCATTTGAGAAGGGCTTACTAGAACATCATCCACCCTAGCCATCTTGGGTGGAGGAGTACTTCTAGTGTAATAATGGGACTCCTCCACTGTCCTATCTATTGTAGAAGGGTAAAGTGTTACCTAATAATAGGGGTGCAACTCAGGCGGGTTGGGCGGGTCAACCCTAGGTATATAATCTTTGATCCTAATCCTAACCTTAACCCTACATCGAGTTGAGGAACTCAACCGAGCACTGCCCGAGTTTAATTCGGGCGGGCTCGGATTGAATTCGGATTAATGATTTTAAGGTGATTTTGGGTTAATTTTGGGTTACTTTACGGGTTCAATTTGGGTTGAGTTCGGGTAGAGCTCAAAATAAACTTATTGTTATAAACCTACTACATATATTACATAATATTCACCTAAATTAACAACCAATAACTTCAACCAAGTTTTTAATAGTGCTAATACTAGAACAAAAATAAAAATGAACGAGAGAGACAGAGAACGATAGAACAAAAATAAAAAAACCAGTGCTAATGCTTTATATATATAAATAAATTTTTTTTAATTTGTCGGGTTTGGGTTGAACCTGTGAACCCAAGGCCTTAACTCGAGCCCAACCCAAATTGAATTCGGGTTGAAATTTTTTAACCCAAGTCCAACCCAAGTATTAAAAATCCTTACCCAAGCCTTAATTTTTTCAAGTTGAAATTGGGTTGCCCAACCCAAGTTGCACCCCTACCTAATAAAAAAAGAGAGAAAAATCTAAAGGAAGCCAACATAACTTTTCTCTTAGCTAAGGAGCTGCTAGCCTTGGAAGAAGACACACTGCCCCTAGCATCTCCAGAAGAAGGGTCCCTAGCCTTACCCTCTCTAGGCATGAGGGTCTCGTAGTCCCTTACGGGACAGGCCCTCACAACCTGAAGCTTCCACTCCTGATCCACTGAGAGCACCAGGGAGCCTAAAAAAAAGATGGATAATACCAAAAAAAAAAAAAAAGGAGAGAGATTGTACCTATCCTCTTTGGAAGGCCCCACCTCATTACTTCCAGAGCCCTGTCTGCCTTTGAATCCCACTCTCCTCCTACAAATAAGAAGCGATCCTTCCAGCTATGGTAGTTGGATTGTAGCCTAACAATTAATTTTCCTCCCCTCAAAGTGAAGTAATACCAACCGCAGTTGGGAGTAGGGATCTCACTCAAAATATAAACAGCAAAAACTCTTCAGGAGAAGCATCCTTATAATGCACCCTCCTCCATAGTGCAAGAAATCTCAGTAGAACTCTTCAACCATTAGACTTCAAATGCCCTGGCGTGAGTGAAAAATAATGAAGGATCCAACAAACAAGAGAAGGGACGGGAAACCTTAACCCCGCCTCAAGTGCTCTTTCATAAATAACAATGTCCCTCAAGGAGTCATCAGAGGCTAGCTCGCCCATCTCAGCCTGACGGCACAGCACCGCAGGAGGAATGCAAAAAGTGGATATAATTCTAGCAATCTCAGTATCAGTGTTGAGGGAGCTAAAGATAGATCTCACCTTAGAGCCATCATCAGTAGACACTTTACCAAGATATTTGTGTAATCATGGATGAGGAGGAGCACTACCACCATCATCTCTCACCACTTGTCCAAACCCTATCTCTGTGGATAGCTCATTCTTGATAGCTAGCCCGAATGTCTGTGTCGCAACACCTGCCACCTGCACCCAAGCTCTTGTGCACACTCATGTACCTTCACTTACCTATATGCCAATGCCAACCACGGTGCCCTGAGTGCCCACGATCGCCTCCCAGCTAGCGCCCGCAGCTTCCGCCACCATTCCTACCTTGCCTGTGTCTGCTTCACTCACGCTACCTTTGCCCTCCATCACTTTTTAGTCTAACCCTATCAAAGAATGAAACAAAGGGAAATGAGGAGGTACCTGTTTATAGCCCAACCTTGGGAGTTACCTGGTAGGATTGGAATTCAAGTATCCTAATTGGAGTAGGATTGACATTGAGGAGCTCTTATTCACTTTGGCAGTTACCTAATTAGATTGGCATTGAAGTATCCTAATTGGAATAGGAATGACACTGAAGAGCTCCCATTCACTTTGGCAATTAGCTAATTGGATTGGTTATCCTAGTTAGAGTAGAATTGACTTTGGTAAGTTCTCATGAGTATAATCTATACCAAAAAGGAAAAAATAAGCCTAAAATAAGTAAATAAATATATATATATATATATATATAAACATATATATATCCTCGTCAAGGAAAAGAGTTTAGCCGTAGTTGGACTAGTTAATGCCCACTCCCCCAAATCATTGGGTTCGGGGGCATGGGGGCAAATGATGGGCCCGACCTAAGGCCCAATTCAAATAATGGTCCCAGCCCAAATCAGGGCCAACTCAGATGGTGGGCATANCTCGTCAAGGAAAAGAGTTTAGCCGTAGTTGGACTAGTTAATGCCCACTCCCCCAAATCATTGGGTTTGGGGGCATGGGGCAAATGATGGGCCCGACCTAAGGCCCAATTCAAATAATGGTCCCAGCCCAGATCAGGGCCAACTCAGATGGTGGGCATGGCCCAGACAAGCCTTAGTGGGTTTGGCCCAGAAAAGACCCATATTTAGTCAGACTCACCAAAGCCCCGAGAACCACACTATCCTAAAGTCAAGGAGGTAGCAACACCATCAGAGAGCCTCATCCACACCATCCTAGAGTGAGGAGGTCTGTCATGCCATCTTGGGACCTGGTTTGAGGAGATCTCCATGCCTTCTCAACAACTGCCTCACCTATTATGAGGATGGTGTCCACTCCACCAAATCAGTTTTTCTGTTACTGATAAGACACTTCAATCTGTTAGGAGACGCCTACAAATTGTAAACCANATCAGAGAGCCTCATCCACACCATCCTAGAGTGAGGAGGTCTGTCATGCCATCTTGGGACCTGGTTTGAGGAGATCTCCATGCCTTCTCAACAACTGCCTCACCTATTATGAGGATGGTGTCCACTCCACCAAATCAGTCTTTCTATTACTGATAAGACACTTCAATCTGTTAGGAGACGCCTACAAATTGTAAACCCCGCCTACACATAAGGAGCATTTCTCGCATCTTATATCTCGTCTATTACTCACACTTGAGCACCCAACACTCCTTAAAGCAATAAAACACCCAAGCCATCTTAATCCTTCATAGTGGAGTAGGTCATCCTGACCGAACCACTTAAATTGTATTTTGCTTGTGTTGACTTTCTTCTTATTTATTCACTGCATTAATTACTTGACAGGTGGTACATAAAATCAATTTGTGCATCATTAAATAAGAAAGGAAAAGAAAACTTACATTAATCCACAAATAGTAGATTCAAATGTATTTTAATGCGATTATCATGTGTTAATCTTTAAAGATCTAGCATTTTTATCCTCTTTTCCTTGTCTCCAAAATATTTTTTAACCTCTTAACACCTTCAAATTTCTAATACACCTCATATCACATATCCAAGGTTTTTCGACCTTCCGCATTCAATGGTAACATTATTTTCATCTAATTAAGATTAGAATTTCACTAATTTAATTTCTTCTAAAAGTGATTATCCCGAAACATCAAATCTTTTAAAGATCTCAATAATTCCTACAATAACCATTTTAAAATATTCTATTTATCCTTACTTCATCTAAACTCAACAAATACATAATAATTTAATGTAAATTAAAATAAATACATGGAGTCTTATAATAATAGGATTCCACCGCAAGCATACATTAAAGCCACAAACCTAATTTTAATATTACAATTAAATGAGAAAATTAGATAAACCCAAAGCTGCTCCTAAACAATGATAAGCAGAAAACTAACACTCTACTACATACTTTGTTTTAAGAGCAATGTTATTGGGACTTAATTTGTTGACATAATTTGTTGATTTAATTCACTGTGATATTTAGATTCACTATAAATCCCATCAAACATTAAAATTTAGTGTTGATCTAACGATTCCTATGAAGTCACCTCATTATCTTAACAAATTATGTCAAGTTTTTAGATTCAAATAGTAATACTTTTGTTGTAAATGATTCACACGAGGGGATTAAAAAATGATAAAATTGGTTAATACACGTCACATGAAAGAGATTAATTAGAGAAGACTATTTAAATAATTTAAAATTATAAAAAATTAGTATGTAAAGCAGGAAGTCTTAGCAAGTCCTTTTCAATAAAATTTGTTTGTGATATTCAATAGTATAAAAAAGGGAAATATTATGATATCATTTTTTTCACTTTTCAATTTTATACCAAAAAATTAAAAAAATCCAAAAAATAATAAATTGTATCCTGAAAAGTGATAAGAAAAAATGGTACGTGAATTTGGAGGTGATGCACCCCAAAAATTGATAAATTCTAGCAGTCAAACCTAAAAATAAATAAATAGGACAAGTGATAGGTAATTTTTTTTTTTTTTTTTGAACGATCAAGTGATAGGTAATTTGAACAGAGAGTTCCTCTCAGAAAAAGATAAGCAGAAATCCCAACACTATGCCACGTGTGTTGTCAATAGAGAGATCCATTTGGCAAAAAAAAAATCAGAATACAAATCCTAGTTCGTTGAGGTCGTCGTTAACCGTTCATTCCCGAACACAAACAGCTCAGTCAAGCTCAAGCCCACACCAGAGCTCCCTCACTCTTCTTCCGCATTCCACAATGGCCACCATCGAGCTCGCAAATCTAGGGCTTCGATTTAGACCATTCTCTACCTCCAATCCAAGAACGACTCGTTCTCCTTTGCGATTCTCGACTCCCTTTGGTCGCAAGATTCGCATTCATAGGCCCCTTTCGTGTTCGCTGGTCGGACAACAGCAACAAGTTGATGCTTTGTTTACTGAAGAGGAAAGTTCGTTGATTCGAGCTCTCATTGGGATTCAAGGACGTGGTCGTTCTGCTTCTCCTCAGCAACTACAAGTATGCTATACATATACATATATATAATTTACTTTTCCATGGCTCGGTAGATGGAGTGAATTAGCGAGAGACTTCCCCTCTTTTTTAGCTGAGAAAACAGAGGGGAAAATGCTAGAAATGAATTATGTTGCGGCTGAACCAAGTTCCATAATCTTTTTGGCTTCCTTTGCAGCTCTAAATACACATCTTTATTTTAAAAAAAGGGCATACGCTTCTAAAGTGTGCTTAATTTGATAGAGTAGGAGTTGCGGATGAAAAGAGATAAACAAAATAGGGTTACTCTCAAATTGTACCCAAAAGACCTCTCAAATTTCAATTTGCACATAAACAATTTTAATTTGCACCCACAACGATATAAATTTGTATCGGTGTGCACCTTGAGCTGTTACTTAAGCTAGCCGTCATCCGTTTGTCATCTAAAATTAGTGGGGTAAGTTACACTTACACCTCCTTAAGTTTGTCGCTTAATTATTTAGACCCTTTATATTTAAAATATTACTCATAAATCTCTTGATGTTTGTGCACGTGTAACTCATAATCCCTTATTATTGATATCTGTTAATATAACCTTTAAAAAACATGATTTTATTCAGATAAAAAATTATAATTTTCATACTACTCTTTATTTTGTGGGCCTGTTATACTGTAAAATTTAAAATCAAGCTTACTATTTGAACGTCTAATATGATGCAGATATTTATATAATGTTCTTCATATTCAATGCAATACATCACTTGAATAAAATTATTTGGATATCTAATTAGGGGAACATTTTTAGTCATATTTAGATTTTTACGGATGTAGGTGTAATATTTTAAATGTAAGGGATTTAAGTGATTAAATAACAAGCATGATAGGACCTATGTGTAATTTATCTATTTAGTATTAGTCGACAAACTTACGGTTGTTAGTTTCAGTGGGGCATTGATACATATTTATATATTTGAGAGTACAAATTGAGATTTTTGATTTTTAAGGGTATAAATTGAGATTCGAACAATCTTTCAGGGTACAATTTATAAATTGAGATTCGAACAAAATACTCTGAATTTAGCGGTACCCTTTATGTTGCTTTGTTTTCCAAAGAGAGAGCATGATAGAAATTGGACCTTGAATTAGGATCGACTAAATGTCAAGGTTTCTTTGTTTCTAAATTGGTGATAACTTGTGCAGGATGTAGAGCGTGCTGTGGAAGCTCTAGAGGGTTTGGAAGGCATTCCTGACCCAGTGGGTGATTATCTTCAATATCCATTTTTCCTTTACTATGTAGTTGTTTGATTTAATGCCTGGTTAAAATGTGGTTCTGATCGAATTGTTACCCTGCTAGGCACTTTTTTTATGCTAATTACTTCACATACAGATATTTATGAATCCCTGCAATCATTCAACTTGTTAATTTAGCATAGAAATGCTTCTCCATTGCGCGTCAATGTAGGATTTAGGCCCATTCAACCACTCATCACCTCTGATCTTGATTTTCTGTTTTCTTCTTTTAATGGCTTGCATTGTCATAGCATATACAAAAATTTTAATTTGTGACTCTATTCAATATTTGCAGACAGGCTCCAGTTTGATTGAAGGTCGCTGGCAGTTAATGTTCACAACTAGACCAGGAACTGCATCCCCAATTCAGGTTAAATTTAGTATTTTTGGCTTGGATAGCATCCTTATTCTTACCTAGTTTGACATTCTTAATCTCGTAATTTATTTAGATTACCTATTTGGTGGCATATAGATATCTATATTTTCTAGCTATATTTTTTTCTATAAAATTAACTATTACACCTTTTCTAGTGATAAGGAGTATGTCAACCAATAAAATAATGGAACTTTGAAGAAACAACAGGTTTGTGTAATGGATTACTGAAATTGGTGTTTGCTTAATATATACGTAAATTTTGTTCTGGTCATAAGACTGATGAAGTTAAAAGAACAATGTGGATTCGATGGAGATGGAATTGTTTGATGACAGCACAAAATACTTCTTCAGGTAGCAATTTGTTGTTGTGTTTCTGCTTATCATTTTGACAAGGGGCAAAGTTTCTTAGATATACTAGTTTTCTTAAATCAACAAAACTTGGTCTATAAATGATCAGGTGTGTGCAATAGGATAATTTGATGAGCTCCTTAAGAGTGGTGTAATGATAAATTTTACCCTTGAGCAGAATGAATTGTCCCTCATGATTACACACGTGGAATTAAGACACTAACTAGAGACGGGGGAGGGGATGAATAGGTTAATTTTAATTTGTTCAAACAAACACCAAATTATAACCTAATTCTACCACAATTATATCTTTTGAAAAATCAATTAATTAATTAAAATTGAAAACTCTTTTTGCCAAAGAACAACTCTATGAACCATGTAGATTGATGTTATTGATTTGTTGATTTTAAACTTAAAACTTGATCTCACACGGTGATCCAACCCAAGGCAAACAACAACCAACAACCAATCAAACACTATGAATGATATCAATGTTCGAAACCAAACACTATGAATGACATGAATGTTCAAACAATCAAATTAACACACATAGTGCCCATATGTGCTGCATAATGGAAGCATGTACAAATATAACAATAAAGAATGCAAGCAATTTATTGATGCGAAAACTCTCATCCGAAAAAAAATCACAAGGAACCACTCAGAGTTCACCAAAGCCTAATTCACTATCCCAAAATCTTTTTACAAGTACTCTAGTCTTATACCTCAACCAAATACCATAGTTAGATGCTCATTTCCTTCAATAAGCCTCTCCACCGGATCACCCACCGACGTTATGAATAATTTCACTTGAACTCCCAGTTTTGCATTTCATTTAGACCTTGAGTGCTCTTAGGATGCACCCAAGAATCTCAGTATGCACACTCTCTAATGGGTTTGGTTGGAACTCTCAATATAGATTTTCTTCACCAAGATGTGAGGCTGGATTAAAGAATTAAGCTTGGTTTTGCCTTTGGATGTTAGGGATTTAGGGTTTTTCTTGGATCTCTTAAGGTTAGAGAGGCTAAAAATAAACTCACAAAAGAGATTCCTTAACTTAGGAAGACTCCTTCTATTTATAGGCTCGAAAGAGGTTTAGTCTTGGAGACTAAGTAAATCAATATTTGTGAATGACCGTTTGAGCAGTGAGAGGGTAGTCAGAGAGTGATGGCTACTGGAATAAGATAAGAAATCAAACCACAACAGTAAAGTAGGGACCTCTCAAGCGACCTTAGGATTGCTCGAGCGGCCAAAGAACAACCTAGAGGGCGGTGTCCACTACCCACTCGTTCAACCTCTTTCGATTTTATCCCTAAATATTTAGAGATTGCTCAAGCCAAAGGCAACTGAGTAGAGGGCAGTCTCTACTAGTTTTAAACTATAAACTGAACAAAATTTTATCTTCTTGAGCACTAAAGGATGTTTCTCAAGTGGGGTTCGATTAATAACTCAAATCTATGCTTTTGAAACATAGTGAGGTTAGAAATATTTTTCTTTGAAGAACACTTAGGAGTCATTAAGAGATCAACTATCGATTCTATTTTAACCTAACCAACCTCGGTCTGAACTTAAACCAAGGTTGTTAAGGTATCTAAGGCCATTATTACTTTTATACTAAGCATAAAGGTGCATACGGAAATTTGTTGATGTGTTGTTATAGCTTGAACTTTTTCCTTCATTTTTTGCTTTCAGATCTTTGACATTGTAGTACCGTGACCATGGAACTGGTTAAGATTTACAAAAAGATTTGACGAAATTAGTCAATTACAAATGTGCTCCTAACACGTGGATTTGAATTTTTGATTAATCATGATAGTTTTCTTAAATAGGTAGGCAGGCTATGCTTTTCTTTTTCCATACAGGAAGGTTGGCATTTCCCTCTTGTCTTAATTTATTATAATCTTACTAACTGTCTATAGGTCCATAGCTAATCCTTTCCTGCCTGGTGTGGGTATCGAATTTATGTTGTTTTTTATGTCAGAGCCAAACAACATCATGGTTTCAAATGTGACCAACATAAATGATAGAGTTATATACTAAAAACTTATTTTTTGTAGTAAAACTCAATTTATTTTTTAATAAAAGTTCTTTATTTTTTTATTTAGAATTTGTATGGATAAAATGTTTGTATTATATTAAATATAAGCTATACATTTGTGTATTTTATTTTATATTGTAGATAATCTAGTATGTAAAGGCCTGCTTATACACAGAAGATCAGATTATCAAATCTTTGTATGATATAAGTAAAGGTTCAGTCTTAGATGGAATTGGACGCACAATCAGTTGGATTATAGTGCGATCTTTTGATATAGTCTATCTTGGCGATAGTAGACTGTCTGATGTCTCAAATTGTTGCACTAGTATAGTTTATGTATTGGACATGACCATTTTTTAGGCTACTTTCTTTTTACTATCTAAATAAAAAATAAATAGCTCATGGTTATTATTATGATTGTTAAGTTTTTAATCCTGAGATATTGAATGGACATGTGCATACAATGATTGTTACTTCAATTCATAAAAGAGTGAGATTCATTTGAATCAACAAATTCGGTGAATTGAGAGATGATATTATTTGTATTATAAAAATTAATAAGGAAACCAAGCTTATACACAGAAGATCAGATTATCGAATCCTTGTATGATATGAGTAAATGTCCAGTCTTAGATGGAATTGGACACACAATTAGTAGGATTGTAGTGCAATATTTTGATATAGTCTGTCTTGGTTATAGTAGACTGTATGATGTCTCGAATTGTTGCATTAGTATACTTTATGTATTAGACATGACCACTTTTTAGGCTATTTTACTATCTATTTAAAAAATAAATAGTTCATGGTTATTATGAGTGCTTAAGTTCTTATTCCTGAGATATTTAATGAACATGTNCTATCTATTTAAAAAATAAATAGTTCATGGTTATTATGAGTGCTTAAGTTCTTATTCCTGAGATATTTAATGAACATGTGCATACAATGATTGTTGCTTCAATTCATCAAAGAGTGAGATTCATTTGAGTAATTCGGTGAATTGAGAGATAATATTATTTATATGATAAAAATTAATTATTAAAGTAAACCATATTTCGATAATTAAATAGATTGATGATGTCCTCTTAAGGAAGCTTATAAGTTTTGTCCATGTCATACTCTGCAGGTGGAGTTAATTATCCGATATGATAAATAAGTTGAGTGACAAAATCTTAAGAATTAAAAGAAGTCAATTAAATATAGTTGTCTGTAATTTAATTAATTGACAGACATTTATAATCTTAAATGTGAGGAGATTATTAAGCATACAATAACGAGTAGCTCAAAATATAATTCTAACATAAGGCCCAAGAGATCAATAATAAGTTTTTAGTGGACTAGCTTATTATTAATGGACCGTAAGATGTTTGTTCTGATTTGGACATAGGATTACTAGACTCATTGGAAGTCTGGTCCTTATTTCTTTTTAGGGTCTTTACTGTAGTCTATAAATAAACACACTTTCTAATTCTCTCAACCACAACCTTTACCTTCATGTTTAGAAGAGACAGAGAGAGTAAGGGGGAAAATTAAGAGGATTGCAGCCCACACAGCATTCGGGTTTTGACATGGAAGAACATTCAATAGAAGATCGTGAGATCCATTAAGCTGACTTTTTGATCTGCATTTGCCTTTGTTGTGCAGATCTGCTCAACAAAGGTAAACCATAATTCTATCTTTTAGGGTTAATAGACGAATACATTTTTTGTAATCAACTATATGCCCCATCAACAGATCTTGGGACTGCCGTTACAACAGCATACAATAAAGGATAGAATCTGGATTTTTGTGATATAGGACAATATACTGATGCATTTGGAACTCTAAATATCTGAAAATAGTGTTACCCAGAAAGGTCTTTTGATGATGTATACTAAGCAAAAACAATTTAGTTGCAGTGATTATATGATTCTTATTTATAGTGATTTGTACTTTTCTGATGATTAACACATGCTTTTGATACTATCGCAGAGAACATTTGTCGGGGTTGACTTCTTCAGTGTATTTCAAGAGGTATATCTTCGTACCAATGATCCTCGTGTTTCCAACATCGTAAAATTCTCTGATGCAATAGGTGAGCTGAAAGTAGAGGTACGACTTTATGTATGTTATTGGCATTCCACTTATATTTATGCGGGGATTACAATCTTGAATATGAGATATTCTTAGATGCCCGTCTTATCTCATTTGCCTTTCACTTTCTGTAATTTGTTTATCCATGTGGAGTATGTGAGCATTTGAATTCTGCACTTTGTTTATCCATGTAGTGTGCACGGGTAATCTCTATTTGGTTGAAATCATACCGTAGTCGTGTTATCAAATTTTGGTCTGATCAATAATCCATAGGATTCTAGGGTTATTTTTGTCTANGGTTTTAAACTATAAACTGAACAAAATTTTATCTTCTTGAGCACTAAAGGATGTTTCTCAAGTGGGGTTCGATTAATAACTCAAATCTATGCTTTTGAAACATAGTGAGGTTAGAAATATTTTTCTTTGAAGAACACTTAGGAGTCATTAAGAGATCAACTATCGATTCTATTTTAACCTAACCAACCTCGGTCTGAACTTAAACCAAGGTTGTTAAGGTATCTAAGGCCATTATTACTTTTATACTAAGCATAAAGGTGCATACGGAAATTTGTTGATGTGTTGTTATAGCTTGAACTTTTTCCTTCATTTTTTGCTTTCAGATCTTTGACATTGTAGTACCGTGACCATGGAACTAGTTAAGATTTACAAAAAGATTTGACGAAATTAGTCAATTACAAATGTGCTCCTAACACGTGGATTTGAATTTTTGATTAATCATGATAGTTTTCTTAAATAGGTAGGCAGGCTATGCTTTTCTTTTTCCATACAGGAAGGTTGGCATTTCCCTCTTGTCTTAATTTATTATAATCTTACTAACTGTCTATAGGTCCATAGCTAATCCTTTCCTGCCTGGTGTGGGTATCGAATTTATGTTGTTTTTTATGTCAGAGCCAAACAACATCATGGTTTCAAATGTGACCAACATAAATGATAGAGTTATATACTAAAAACTTATTTTTTGTAGTAAAACTCAATTTATTTTTTAATAAAAGTTCTTTATTTTTTTATTTAGAATTTGTATGGATAAAATGTTTGTATTATATTAAATATAAGCTATACATTTGTGTATTTTATTTTATATTGTAGATAATCTAGTATGTAAAGGCCTGCTTATACACAGAAGATCAGATTATCAAATCTTTGTATGATATAAGTAAAGGTTCAGTCTTAGATGGAATTGGACGCACAATCAGTTGGATTATAGTGCGATCTTTTGATATAGTCTATCTTGGCGATAGTAGACTGTCTGATGTCTCAAATTGTTGCACTAGTATAGTTTATGTATTGGACATGACCATTTTTTAGGCTACTTTCTTTTTACTATCTAAATAAAAAATAAATAGCTCATGGTTATTATTATGATTGTTAAGTTTTTAATCCTGAGATATTGAATGGACATGTGCATACAATGATTGTTACTTCAATTCATAAAAGAGTGAGATTCATTTGAATCAACAAATTCGGTGAATTGAGAGATGATATTATTTGTATTATAAAAATTAATAAGGAAACCAAGCTTATACACAGAAGATCANTGAATTGAGAGATGATATTATTTGTATTATAAAAATTAATAAGGAAACCAAGCTTATACACAGAAGATCAAATTATCGAATCCTTGTATGATATGAGTAAATGTCCAGTCTTAGATAGAATTGGACACACAATTAGTAGGATTGTAGTGCAATATTTTGATATAGTCTGTCTTGGTTATAGTAGACTGTCTGATGTCTCGAATTGTTGCACTAGTATACTTTATGTATTAGACATGACCACTTTTTAGGCTATTTTACTATCTATTTAAAAAATAAATAGGTCATGGTTATTATGAGTGCTTAAGTTCTTATTCCTGAGATATTTAATGAACATGTGCATACAATGATTGTTGCTTCAATTCATCAAAGAGTGAGATTCATTTGAGTAATTCGGTGAATTGAGAGATAATATTATTTATATGATAAAAATTAATTATTAAAGTAAACCATATTTCGATAATTAAATAGATTGATGATGTCCTCTTAAGGAAGCTTATAAGTTTTGTCCATGTCATACTCTGCAGGTGGAGTTAATTATCCGATATGACAAATAAGTTGAGTGACAAAATCTTAAGAATTAAAAGAAGTCAATTAAATATAGTTGTCTGTAATTTAATTAATTGACAGACATTTATAATCTTAAATGTGAGGAGATTATTAAGCATACAATAACGAGTAGCTCAAAATATAATTCTAACATAAGGCCCAAGAGATCAATAATAAGTTTTTAGTGGACTAGCTTATTATTAATGGACCGTAAGATGTTTGTTCTGATTTGGACATATGATTACTAGACTCATTGGAAGTCTGGTCCTTATTTCTTTTTAGGGTCTTTACTGTAGTCTATAAATAAACACACTTTCTAGTTCTCTCAACCACAACCTTTACCTTCATGTTTAGAAGAGACAGAGAGAGTAAGGGGGAAAATTAAGAGGATTGCAGCCCACACAGCATTCGGGTTTTGACATGGAAGAACATTCAATAGAAGATCGTGAGATCCATTAAGCTGACTTTTTGATCTGCATTTGCCTTTGTTGTGCAGATCTGCTCAACAAAGGTAAACCATAATTCTATCTTTTAGGGTTAATAGACGAATACATTTTTTGTAATCAACTATATGCCCCATCAACGGATCTTGGGACTGCCGTTACAACAGCATACAATAAAGGATAGAATCTGGATTTTTGTGATATAGGACAATATACTGATGCATTTGGAACTCTAAATATCTGAAAATAGTGTTACCCAGAAAGGCCTTTTGATGATGTATACTAAGCAAAAACAATTTAGTTGCAGTGATTATATGATTCTTATTTATAGTGATTTGTACTTTTCTGATGATTAACACATGCTTTTGATACTATCGCAGAGAACATTTGTCGGGGTTGACTTCTTCAGTGTATTTCAAGAGGTATATCTTCGTACCAATGATCCTCGTGTTTCCAACATCGTAAAATTCTCTGATGCAATAGGTGAGCTGAAAGTAGAGGTACGACTTTATGTATGTTATTGGCATTCCACTTATATTTATGCGGGGATTACAATCTTGAATATGAGATATTCTTAGATGCCCGTCTTATCTCATTTGCCTTTCACTTTCTGTAATTTGTTTATCCATGTGGAGTATGTGAGCATTTGAATTCTGCACTTTGTTTATCCATGTAGTGTGCGCGGGTAATCTCTATTTGGTTGAAATCATACCGTAGTCGTGTTATCAAATTTTGGTCTGATCAATAATCCATAGGATTCTAGGGTTATTTTTGTCTAGCGCAAGTGGCATACATTTGCTTCAGCTGGCATGGTATTAGGATCTGCACCTTGTCCAGACACTCAGCTTGGTAGACACATCATTGACCTAGAAATTATAGAGAGAATTACGTAATAAGGAGCACATTGTACATGAATATGTGATGGAAATACTCATAAATGCTTGTCAAATAAGGGGTGTCACTGGCCTTGCCGATTTAGTTGCGAACTTGTGATGTGTTGGTAGTGGGCTTTTCCCAATTTGCCTTCTTGGGCCCAGTTACTGTTAGAGATGTGGTATTCACCACAGTTTTCGGTGTACTAGGTGCTTAAAGTTCATGCACACATCGTACCATATGTGTGTCCAGTATTATGATAGGTTCCATGCATCCTGAATGACATATGTCATGCAGATTCGTTTGTTTGTTTTAGTTTGCATACAATTAAAAGGAGGCTTATATTCCCCAAACTACTTGAGAGGTTCAAAAACTTGTTGTTTTTGTTCTTATATCTTATTTGTTGATATTTTCTTTTGTTGGAGGCTTGTGAGGTGGCCCTAGTCATTTTATATGTTATGCAAACTATCTTTAATTCAAATGAGCCTGAGGTTTGGCCTACTGACCATCCAAGCCTTAACTATATTCACCAACCTTGGGTGGCACTAATTTTTCGATATGGTATACAAACGGTCTCTTCATATGTTCCACAAAGACTCATGTCAAAATTCACATGCAGACCACGAAATAATGCTAGTTGATACCATTTAAACTCCGTAAGTGCCCTGTGTTGAAGCTACAGTATTAAGAGGAAGTCAAAGATGGAGAGCCAATTGGAAACATTGAAGTAGCACAAGTGCACAACAATTTTATATCTTCCGGCATTGCTTTTAACTTGCCAGATTGTTTTGTTTTATTATGAAAGGGGTAAATATTAAACTTGTCTTATAACTAGCAGCTTGCATGAGCCTGTGCTTTAGGTCTTGTGCAACATACTCTAATGAAGATTAAGCTGGGACAAACCAGTTCACAATTATTTGAGGCTACCACCTGGGTGGTGAGGTTGCCAGTGACAAGAGTTTCAGGTGAAATTCCAAGAATAAATTCTTGACATGAGCTTAGTCTTACAACTTCCAGCTAAGAAAAAAATATCCAATGATTTCGATGGGGTTTTCATTTCGATGTCGGCTTTTGGTTTGAATTAATTAGTGATTTCAATATGGTTTAGCAATGAAATAATTTTCATGGTTAGGAATGATTTGGTTTCAATGATTTTTTCATCCGCTTTATTTTGTCTTTGATTGTATGAGATATATATTGTAACAGTTTAGGAAAAAGAAAAAGAACCAGTTAGATTCTTCTTAGTCTTCTGATTTTCTTTTTTCGGCAAATCCCCTCTTCCCTCCTTCNTATGGTTTAGCAATGAAATAATTTTCATGGTTAGGAATGATTTGGTTTCAATGATTTTTTCATCCGCTTTATTTTGTCTTTGATTGTATGAGATATATATTGTAACAGTTTAGGAAAAAGAAAAAGAACCAGTTAGATTCTTCTTAGTCTTCTGATTTTCTTTTTTCGGCAAATCCCCTCTTCCCTCCTTCCAGATCAACCTCATTCCCCCACTCAAAATCACAAAATTCTGGCACACATACACACAGGGAGAGAATTTCTCCACTGGACAAGAACATCCCAACTTACACTCGTGATTCTCGGGATAGCCTCTCAAATTTTTCTAGAGCTAATTAGGGAGCTGAAATTGGTTTCCATCTTTTGGGTTCTTATTGGAAAGATTCAGGAGTGGGGTGCATCATTTATACCTTACATTGTTGGGTTTTTATTGGAAAGATTCAGGAGTGGGGTGCATCATTTATACCTTACATTGTTGGGTTTTTGTTCCACCCAGGCAGAAGCATCAATTAAAGATGGAAAACGAATCCTTTTCCGCTTTGATAGAGCAGCCTTTTCTTTCAAATTTTTGCCCTTCAAGGTGCCATATCCAGTACCTTTTAGACTTCTTGGAGATGAAGCAAAAGGTTGGTTAGACACTTCATATTTGTCCCAATCTGGAAATCTGCGTATCTCAAGAGGAAATAAGGTAAATCAGCACATAATTGTCCTGATGTATTCCAGCTTCCTTTTGCTTTCGTCTCTCTTATAATATAAACATTATGAAACTTGTAAACCATTGGTCAAACTTCCTTTTAGTCTGTAGTCTGCTTAGAATTAAGGACCACCAGCTATGTTGCTGTAGTGCAGGGCACCACATTTGTGTTGCAAAAGAAACCTGAACCAAGGCAGAGGTTGCTTTCAGCCATTTCCATGGGTACAGATGTCAGAGAGGTAAGGTTGCTTTGAAATCCAGGTAGCAATATGTGAAAGAAGATTGTTCTATTATTGTACACTCTCTATGTAGCTAATTTTTTGCATGCTCCAACATCTGCAGGCAATTGATGTGTTTCTCTCCTTAAATCAGAATGTAGCTAAAGGAGAACTGGAACTTTTCAAGGGAGAATGGCAAATGATATGGAGCTCACAGGTAGGTTTTGGTTTAGATTTCTTTTTCTTCTGTTTTTTCAATAAAAATCTGAAAAATGCATATAACTTAAAACCAATTGGGATGAGTGAAGAGGCCCACGAGGATCACATGCTAGTTTTGGAGGTGTTGGGACAAGCTCTGACACTTCCCTCACGTTCGAGCCCCCATCAAGCGTGGAGTGACAAACAGATGGATTGGAAGACACATTTAATGACAAGTGCACTTATGGCACAAACAGAGGGGGAATCTATTATAAGATCAGAAAAAAGAAAAAAGGTCGGGCTTTGTGCCGTACTAATATTGGGGAATAAGGAAAAGTGTACATATAGTGGAATTGTAGAGTTGATAAGATCTTGTGGTGGATGCAGCAAGAACAAAATGGATATAGGTTGGTAGAGTTTTTGTCATGTTAGTCTAGATTTACATTACTGAGTTAGTTATCTGTAAACATAGAATAGGACTTTACGAGCCCAAAGTGTATTTGCAGCAAATCAGCTGGTTTGATGCTCCTTAGCTAAATCACTCTGTTTTGAGGTCTTCTCCTGAAATCCTTGGCGAAATTTCATGAATTTTATACTGATCTATCCACATTTTGTCTGGCCATCCTCTTTACTGTGTTTAGATCCTTTACTTGCATAAAATTCTCCTTCTCAGTGGTGTTGTCAAAGTTATGGCATTTGCTTGTTCCATCATTTTCATTTATTAGTTGAGTAGCATACTTTCAGTTCAGAGACTTCTGATTTAGTTTCTTGCATTATTGGTACATAATTTTTGATAAAGACTTAGTTGGAAGCAGCAGATTGTAGTGGGTGAGGTTTGTTGATGTAACACTTGGATATGATCTTCACTTAGTTCCTATTGATTCCTCAACAAGGAAGTTTGCTTCTATGAACTTTTTCCTCATTAGAGATTTATGGACTTTTGAAACTCCCCAACCTAGCAATTGTTAAAAAGCACACAAACATCACAGAGATGGAGGTTGTCCTAATGTCCTTGTGTGTTTGTATGTCTACTTCTGTTGCATCCAAAACTTGGTTTTGATGTAGCATTCATGTTGTTCATGGTGAAATTTAGTCTTTCACCATACTCACTATTAGCCTCATGTATGTTGCAGATGGAGACTGATAGCTGGATAGAGAATGCAGCCAATGGTCTAATGGGCATGCAGGTTTTTTTTAGTCTTTCTCAATTATTACAGTTGTATGTAGTAAATAATTCTATGGTTGCATAATCCTTTTCTAATTTTCTCTGATTTGGTCTGGTGAACAAATTCTGCAATCCTCTAATATCACTGCCACAGATTGTCAAACCAAACGGACAATTGAAGTTCCTGGTAGACATATTGCTTGGTTTTAAATTCTCCATGACTGGTACATTCAAGTAAGTTGTCTAATTAGACTTGGTATATTTTCAAAATAAGGGACATAATAGTTATGTTTTCTGGAATCTAAAATAAATGCCAATTGTTTGACAGTTCCACATTGAATCTCCTTATTCTGGTTCCTAGCTTATGAATTTATATTTTTATTCCTTTTTCTGTAACTGAGTAGTTACGTCATCAGCAAGAAGTTTGCATGTTTGGCTGAGGTGGTTTCCCATTAGAGTCAGATCAATCTAAATAATGTTCAGGTCCATAGAGCACTACACAATACCTATTGAATCACGATATTTGCCTACAAGAGGACAAGAGGTGAACTTAGTTGCTAGACACCTATGAAAAAGTTGCACGTTTTTCTACTTTGATCTAATTACTCATGGAGTTGAACAATTTATATCTGTACCAAACATACATAAACTTCAATAATGAACCTTGCTGGATTACATTTCATGTGAAGTTAGAGAACTATACTAATAAACACGGACTTGTGTGTTCCCACACACACACCTGGACAGAGAGATTGAGCAGATTATATTAACAGCCTTGAATAAGAGCAGAACTGTGGTAAATGTACTGTTGCCCTATGTAGTAATGTAAATCTTTAATTGTTGAGAATTGTACATAACCACAAAGAATAGCTGTTCCTAAGGAGTGAAAGACCCAAAAGTTTCAAAAAATAAGAGAAAATACAAAGTAAGATGGATAAAGTGGAGCATAAAACCGAAAACAACTTTCTTCCTCGTAAGAGTTCACTATATATCTTCTACTGTGAAGACGCTTATAAAACTAGGAGCAATAAGTGTTCCTCTTTTTGGGCTACTTGTATTTAACATGACACTCATATCCGTTGCATTTTTGTCTGCAGAAAATCTGGTACCAACGTTTATGATGTGACAATGAACGATGCAGCCATTGTAGTCGGCTCGTTTGGACTTCCAATGGAGATGGAAAGCAAGTTCAACTTGGAGTTGTTGTAAGAACGTTCCTTTGCCTCTGGTTTTGGACGTTAATTATTATCAAATACAAGATATAAATCATCTGTTTGTTGGTGCTAATATGTTGCAGATATACGGATGACAAGATCAGGATTACCCGGGGTTACAACAAAATTATTTTTGTGCACTTACGTGTGGATGGATCGCAGCATAAATGAATTATTTGACCTAATCTGATGACACAAAAGATTTATCCTGTTGTAATTCACCAATATAAGATATCTTATGTATGTATATACAGTTAACTTCAAATGAGACACAACTCATGCAGAAATTACAACTCATCAAAGCTGACTCTGTTTAATCAACCATCAACTTTCTAGTTTACCTTTCAGGTTCTGAGACCAAACAGTTGCTGACACTATATTTGTTGTTTGTAGCGTGTCAAATATTGTAAAATCACTTATTAAAATTTTTTATTTGAACTATGTAAAGTATAACGAAACAATTACAGTTAAGAGTTACATAGAAACGAAAAAGTTACAGCAGAGTTACGAAATAGTAACAGTAAATAGTTACACGTAACTGTTTGCCAAACAAAAATAAATACTAATCCGATTGCAGAACAGGAATTGTTATTAAACTTTAGGTAGATTAAGATTAGTGTTTGACACTATGTCCTTAAGATAGATTTCGCCCCCACACACGATGCTTATGGAAACTGAGCGTCTGTCTCCTAGGATACAATGATCTTTACTTGAACAGAAGTAGCACTCCAATCTGTTCGTCCAACAAACTAACAACGTATTGTGTACTCTTTAAATGCGCTACCTTAATGTCGAAAATGATATGTTCTAATATCTGCTTAATGTCAAAAACAGACTGAATTAATTGAATTAAATTAATAGAAATGAGCCTGGGTATTTATAGACGCATTGATGACTTTTTGGATAGTCACCTTACTAAAGGACACAACTCATAATGACAAGACACAACAGCCAGTAGACACCTTGGGTAACTGTTCTCCATGAACAGTCACAATTTAATTCGGTCTGGAGAGAGACAACAATCTGACCCAATGCGATCCAACGGGTAACAAAATTAAATTTTGGGTTAAGAAATTCTCGCCCAATTAATTAAATAAATTTTCTCCAAAAAGATAGGGTTTGGTCTAACCCACACCCGAGCTCCGCCCTGCCGAGTCGGGTCGTGGTCGTGGCGAGGCGAGGCGGGCGGGCGACGCGCACGCGTGTATAGTTGAACCGAAGACATGTAGGTGCTCGTTCCGCTCATAAAACTATGGTATCCCTTAGGACTCAATCTCATAGAGCAAACTTGGCCTATATATGTCCATGTTGAATTTCTTTATCAACCAATGTAGGATTGGTGTCACATCCCACATTGCACATTTCAAGAGGGGCACTTTGGAGTCTATTTTCTCATTCATTTCTTACTCGATTTGAGCAAGTGAATATACNCCACCACCACCACTGCCGCCACCCTTCCACCACCACCGCCATCACCACTATCGTCACTCTACCACCACCACCCCCACACCGCCCTACCACCATCATCCCCACTACCACCACCCCCACCATCACCATAACTATCACCACCACTACAGCTACCACCCTACCACCACCGCCACTGTCCCATTACTATCCCTACCACCATCATCTTCACTGCGCCATCACCACCCCCACCACCCCAACCATCACCATTCACCTCCATCGTTATCTTATTCTTACATTTATTACCACTGCTACTATCACCCTTACTATCACCACCTCTGCCGTCACCTTACTACCATCGTCACTGTTCCACCATCACTTCTATCACCACCACCCCTGCCACTCCACCACCACTATCACCGTTGCCACCCCACGATATCATCGACTGCAACCATCATCGTCTCCCACCACCACTTGCCCCCACTACAATCGGTGTTTAAATTCTTTTCTCCTCCTCTACTTTTGTAATTTAATTTTGAGTGTGAATACAAATTTATTTATTGTTAATTATTTTTTTTTATAACTCTATACCTTCAGGCATAAAAAATAACTAGTTATTACTATATATTATAAATTAAATTGAAATTAATTATTCAATCTTATCCTCAGTTTTTGCGTACTTGAAAGGAAAATGAGGAAATATCTAATTTGTTGGTATCCTACTAATAGGTGGGAAGAAAAGGATGGTTCAAGGCTTTTTAAAGAGAGTTGAACATATGCAGTTTTATTGTTGTAAGTAGAGAGGTCAGCACGAAGTCATTAATTTTTTTACAATAGAGACAATTTAAAATTCATTAATAAATTAAATTATTAATACTATTATATTTTTTACAAAATATTAATATTTAAATTTTTTGAAAAATATAATTTTGTTAAACAAAAAGTCAATTGTGCATGCAATTTATATTCCTCACGATATACAAAATGAGGCAACATAAAATGATCACACATATAAAATCTATAATAATCCTACAAAAATCGTGTAGTTATTTATACCTAGTCCCTTTTAAATTTTGGGAGAATTTATAGTATCTTTAATACGTAAAGGTGTGTCAAGCTATTCATAGACTCCGTGGGGCTTTATGAGAATATATACTCAGTTGGAAGTGCTTTGAGTTATATTGCAATATTATTATTTCAAAATAAAATTATTTTAATTGTAAAAAAAAGCCAAAAAGTTATTCAATAACAAACAACATTGATATCAAATTAAAAGGGTAATAAATTCAATATTTTTTCATTATCTTTAAGAAATCATTTATAAGGACAATAAATAATTTAAATAGAACATAATTAATATAAAATATTTGAAAAAAAAAATCAATGTATCAGAGAAGTTTATTAAGATTGAGATTAAATATAGGATCAGTTTAATTCAACACAAATAAATATTTTTGAGTTGATCCCAAAATATTTCAAAATCACAGACTGTCCCCACTGTGGCACCGCCACTGCAGGGAGGTTTTGTCTCAACTCAAAATTTTCCCAGTATGCAGGTAGATGACAATCTCCCTCCCTTTCAACTTGTTGTCACTTACCATACTAACGTGTTGTGACCGTTAAATCTAATAGCTACTTTTTTGTAGTCAACTAACATGGCTACTGTTACTTGTAAAGCATACCTATGGCATTTCTAACAAGTACCTACTTTTTCAAATAATCTGCTGATTGGTAGCCATAAAATATAAAATAAAATGTGAACCACGGTTTGGACATCTAAACTTACCCTATAAATAGCTGAGCTTAGCACCACTCATTCTTCAAGCTTGAACAGCTTGTAACTGAGGGAGAAAAGGGGGACTGGGAGAGACCAAAAAGATGGTGAGAACACCATGTTCTAACAAAAATGGAATGAAGAAAGGTTTATGGAGCGGGGAAGAAGATAACAAGTTGAAAGATTATATCCTCAGATATGGCCATTGGAACTGGCGTAAACTTCCCAAGTATGCAGGTAGAGGACAATCTCTCTCTCTCTCTCAAGCTTCTGTTTTAGTTGTTTCACTATTTTATGCTTGATTTTTATATATGATCATTAAGGTGAAAGATTCATCTTTCAGGTTTATCTAGATGTGGGAAAAGTTGCAGACTGCGATGGATGAATTACCTCCAGCCGAACTTGAAAAAAGGAGACTATAGCGAAGAAGAAGAGAATATTATAATAAAATTACACCACGAACGGGGAAATAAGTATGAACTACTTGTTCCTAACTTGATTATTTGCTTCTTTACAACATGAGTAATGGCGTAAATCTTGGTTTTCTTTTTCTTTGTGATGGGGATCTGAAAAGAAGGGGTACATGTCAAGTATCTATTAACTGTCCACAACATCAGGGGTGGATCTACAGTCTTACTCATTTCTGGGAAAGATTGTGATATATGCTATAATAAAATTATCATTATATTCAATTTTTTACATTNGGGGTGGATCTACAGTCTTACTCATTTCTGGGAAAGATTGTGATATATGCTATAATAAAATTATCATTATATTCAATTTTTTACATTATCCCCTCGAAATTTTTAAAATTGAATATAATTGCCCTCGTTTTTGTTTTTTTTTGTGTAAGTGAGTGACCTACTTGGCTCGTAACCTATTAATTAGACAATATATGAATGTTCCAACTCTAGGGTTGTTAGGTGAACGAGCTCGAACCAAGCCTAAAAAATTTATTTTTTAATCGAGTCTAAAAAATTGTTCAACTTTGACTCGTTTAGAAAATAAATTGAGCTTAAACGAGCCAAAAACGAATCAAAATCGAGTATTTGCACATAAACGAGTCAGACTTGTTGAATTTGAACCGAGCATGTTGGACTTATTTCTTAAACAAAGTCTAAAAACTTGTTCAAGTTCGGGTCCGTTTAGAAAACAAACCGAGCCAAAAAACGAGTCGAACCCGAGCCAAACTCTAGTAGCTCAGTTCAATTAACAACCCTACCCAACTCTGATAAATTGACCTAATATGGTACCTAATTCTTGTAAGTTTGTGCCTAATTCTTTTTTTGGTAAGTTAGTGACTTATAAGTCATAACCCGTTAATATATAAATTGATGTTAATTGTAAAATATATCACCCCAAATTGTTTTTACTCTTTTAGAAAAATCAAATTTTGAACTCAACTAGGCTATACAAATACATAAAATAGGATTTCGAATGAACTCTTTGATTAGGGATACCAACAGAAATGACTACAAAATTTAACGTATAATTTATCAATTATAGACGATTATTCAGAGTTGTAAAAACAAGGTTGTATTCCACTTTAATATAGATTGAATTGAAATGTTTTATTAAAATATTTTGCATACTTGAACTTGTGAATATCTTTATATAAAAATAATAACCAATTTAGTCCTTATTAGTGAAGGCCTAAAACAGTTTTATATGTTTCCAAGAACATGGGATTATACAACTTTAGATTGAATCAGTACTTCTTCACTTGCTATGTTGCTTCTTATGTACAGATGGTCAGCAATGGCTGCAAAATTACCAGGAAGAACCGATAATGATATAAAAAATCACTGGCACACTCATCTGAAGAAACGTGCAAAGCAAAATGGAAAATTAGAAGTAACTAATGAAAATTTCCAATCCATTGGAACTTGCCAGTTTGAAGACAGCCGAAAGAGAGATGATCAAGAATGGGCACTTGACAGTGTTGTTGCCATTGATCCATCCCAGCAAACTTCAGAAACCTCCTTATTGCAAGCGGAACCATTTTTCGGTGAATTCTCATCATCAAGATCTGATTATGCGCTCAACAGTGCTATGGAGCGGATCATGGATGATAGTTTCACTTCATTATCAGAAACTCATCATGCGGATACAATTGAAACTTTCTGGAATCAACCATTTTTGTTAGAAAATGAGACCACTACAAATGATGTACAAGCACTCCACTCCGAGTTGCTCTCTCAAAATTCTCTTATTTCTTGTGGGGAACGTCTATCTATGTATGATTACTATTATTGACACATATATATATTGATGCCAAGATCTGGCAAACATATATATTTTAATGACATATATGGATTTTTGCTCAATGCTATTGCTGACAAATTACCACAATAAATTATAGTAAGAGCTTCATTTTTTTGTTTCACATCTGAAGGAATTATTCTGAGCCATATTGCTTCACAAATTGCATCCCTAGTTGTGATATGCTCTGGCAAATGACAGTGCAATAGTCTTTGGTTTTTTAGACCTCCAGGAGATAAGTTTTGAACCCATGTAAAATACACAATCTAACATGCTTTTGCGATCATCAATTGAACCAACCCAATCACTGTCAATGTATCCAATCAACTTGGTGTCAGTTTCTTTGACATATTTGATACTGAGTTTTCTGGTGCATTGTAAATAACATAGGATCCGTTTTGCAGCTATATAGTGTAATTTGCTTGGAACTGTTGTCTGTGCTGTGTCAAATATTGTAAAATCACTTATTAAAATTTTTGATTTGAACCATCTAAAGTATAACAAAACAGTTACAGTAGGGTAATGAAACAGTAACAGTAAATAGTTACATGTAACTGTTTGCCAAACAAAAAATAAATACTAACCCGATTGCAGAACATGAACTGTTATTGAACTTTAGATAGATCAAGACTAGTGTTTAACACTATGTTCTTAAGACAGATTTCGCCCCCACACACGGTGCTTATGGAAACTGAGCATCTGCCTCCCAGGATACAATGATTTTTACACGAATAGAAGTAGCACTCCAATCTGCTCATCCAACGAATTGAAATCGTGTTGTGTACTCTCTAAATGCACTGTCTTAATGCCGAAAATGATATGTTATAATGTCTGCCTTATTGTCTAAAATGGATTGATTAATTTAATGAAATTAATGGAAATGAGTTTGGGTATTTATAGACACATTAGTGACTTTTCGGACAGTCACCTTAGTAAATGACACAACCCAAAATGAAAAGACACAACCCAAAATGAAAAGACACAACAATCACAATTTAATTTGGTCTGGAGGGAGGCAACAAACCCCGACCCAATGTGATCTAACAGGTACTGAAATTAAATTTCGGGTTAAAAAATTCTCGCCTATTTAATTAAATAAATTTTCTCTAAAAAAGATAGGGCTTGGGGTAACCCACACCCACACTCGAGCTCGGCCCGGCCGGGGTCGTGGCAAGGTGGGCGGGCAGCGCGCGTGTGTGTGGTTAAACCGAAGGTATGTAGGTGCTCGCTCCACTCATAAAACTGTGGTACCCCTTAGGGCCCAATCCCATAGAATAAACTTGGCTTATATATGCTCATGTTGAATTTCTTCCTCAACCAATGTGGGATTGGTGTCACATCCCACATTGCACTTTCTTTATTTTCACATTTCAAGAAAGTCACTTTGGAGCCTATTTTCTCATTCATTTCTTACTCGATTTGAGCAAATGAATGTACTACATTATTCTCCTCACGGATTAGAATATGAACTCATGAATTTTTATTCAAAATAACAATCGGGTCCCACTTTAATTTAGGCTCAAAATAAGCCAAAATTCTATTTTTACACTTAAAAAACTGTTTTGTCCAACAATCTCCCACATGAATGAAAATTTGGTTGTTAATATGCAAATAATAATGCTGACACACTATAAAGAGTACATCTTTGAAAAGATCGTGTATCGAGATAGGTAGCTTTTGACCTTGAACCTTCTCTAGTGAAAGTCAACTGAACTTACCGGCTAAATAGTGAATGTGATGTCTTGAACTATTCAACTGTTTGATAAATCAAATCGAATAGACTTCACACAGTCTCTTTCCTAACACAATTGNACATGATGTCTTGAACTATTCAACTGTTTGATAAATTAGATCGAATAGACTTCACACAGTCTATTTCCTAACATAATTGGTTCTCATGATTATGTTCATTTTGACCCTACACAACTCCTGGTTTTTGTGAATGCTTTAGAGAATTCAGCCTTTACCAATTCTCATAGAAGCGACCCTTCACACCCATATAGGTGACTCCTATTAGGATTATCCTGCAATATCTCACTTGGTTTTACCAAGGTATAAAAGTCATTAAAAGCATAGCTTACCCTAATAAACTCTGCAGGCAGCACTAGGTTATCATAAGAATAGGTTGGAGAATTTATCTCCTCTGTGCTTCTTTTGAATCACGCATAATTCGGTTGTCCTTTTGAACCTAGATCTTAGGATCTCCAGTAAACTAGGTTGGGTTGCCATTAAGGTCACTCTTGTGTCATAGGCTTTAATCTTATTCCCCTCAATGTGCAATTTACTTACTCTCTCGTCAAACCTTTTGTACGCTGATCCGCTAGATTATTCTTTGACTTTATATAATCAATAAAAATAATCTCATATGAGAGCAATTGCCTAACACTATATGACGTATATGTCTAGACTTACCATTATACATGTCATCCTATGCCCTACTAATTACAGATTGACTATCGCAATGTATACATATTGCTGACACAGGTTTAGGCTATATTGGAATATCTTCTAGAAATTGGCGACGCCACTCAACTTCCTCTCCTGCTTTATCTAAAGTAATAAATTCAGATTCCATTGTGGATCTGACAATACACGTTTGCTTAGAGGATTTTCAAGATACAGCTGCACCACCAAGTGTAAAAATATAACCACTTGTGAATTTTGTGTCCTTCATATCAGATATCCAGTTTGCATCACTATACCCTTCAAGTATAGCTGGATATCTTATATAGTGTAATTCAAACTTCAGGATATATCTTAAGTATCTAAGAACCCTGATAATTGCCTTCCAATGGTCTACTCCCAGATTACCTGTATATCTACTCATTTACTAACTGAATATATTATATCTGGACTAGTGCAGTTCATAACATATATTAAACTTCCAATAATACGAGAGTATTTCAATTGTGATATGCTTTGGCCAGTATTTTTAGACAAATGAAGATTTATATCAACTTATGTTCTAGCAATGTTGCTTTCATCTTTGTCGAACTTTTCAAGTATTTTCTTAATGTAATGTGTTTGAGATAAGACAAGTCCACCAAATGTTCTAGAAATTTTAATTTCTAGTATAACGTATGCAACACCCAAATCCTTCATGTCAAACTTACTGGACAATATTTTCTTGGTAGCTGTAATAATATTATTATTACTACCTATAATAAGCATATAATTCACATATAGACAAACAATGACATATCCATTATTTGTATCTTTAACATAGATACATTTATCACATTCATTAATTGTGAAACCATTTGACTTCATTACCTTGTCAAATTTCTCATGCCATTGTTTTGGTGCTTGCTTTAAACCATAAAACGATTTAACAAGTCTACACATTTTCTTCTTTTGTCCCAGAGAAACAAACCCTTCGGGTAGGTCCATATAAATTTCCTCATTTAAGTCACCATTTAGGAAAGTTGTTTTCACATCTATTTGATATATTTCAAGATTATGCAATGCTGCAATAGTTATGCGTATACGAATAGATGTTATTCTCATAACGGGAGAATATGTATCAAAGTAATTAAGACCTTCCTTTTGTTTGTAACATTTAGCTACAAGTCTAGCCTTGTACTTATCAATTGATCCATCACTTTTCATTTTTCTTTTGAAAATTCATTTACACCCCAATGGTTTACTCCCTGTTGGAAGATCTACCAACTCCCAAGTGTGATTTTGCATGATAGATTCAATTTCACTGTTTACAGCTTCTTTCCACATAGGTGTTTCAGGAGTGGACATCGCTTTATTAAAGCTTTAAGGCTCATTTTCTAACAAATATGTTAAAAAATCTTGACCATAGGACTTGGAAGTCCTTGCCCTCTTACTGCGTTTAAATATCTCTTCACTTTCTTCATTTATAGACTCATTGTCTATATTACTAGTCACACTATCATGAACTCTTTTAAGAGTACTCCCATCACATGTATTTTTACTAGAAAAGACATTTTTAAAAAATGATGCATTTCTTGGCTCAATGATTGTATTGACATGTAAATCAGTAATATCAGATTTATGCACAAGAAAATGATATGCGCTGTTATTTAGTGCATAACCAATAAATATACAATCAATAGTTTTAGGTCCTATTTTAATCCTTTTGGGAATAGGAACTATCACTTTAGCCAAACACCCTCACACTTTTAAATATTTGTAGGAAGGACTCCTTCCTTTTCATAATTCATAAGGGGTTTTGTTTAACTTCTTGTGGGGTACTCTATTTAAAATATAATTTGCTTAAAGCAAAGCTTCCCCCCACAAGTTTTGAGGTAATTCTGAACTAATCAACATGGCATTCATCATTTCTTTCAATGTTCTATTTTTACGTTCAGCAACTCCATTTTGCTGAGGTGTATAAGGCGCAAAAGTTTAGTGAATAATACCAGACCATGTTCTTAACAGAACCGATCAAAAGGTGCATCATACTCACCACCTCGATCACATCTTATTACCTTAATCCTCTTGCCAAGTTGATTCTCAACCTCATTCTTATAGTGCATAAATTTTTCTAATTTTTCTAATGTTTCATCTTTACTCCTTAGCAAATATACATAACAATATCTTGTGCAATTATCAATAAATGTAACAAAGTATTTCTTTCCACCTCTAGTTTGAACATATTTCAAATCACATGTATCATTATGAATTAATTCTGGAGGCTCAATACTTCTTTCAATATTATGAAATGATACCCTTGTTAATTTTGATTTAACACATGCCTCACATTTATGATTTGTATCAATATTAAATTTAGGCAATAATTCTAAATTCATTAATTTACGCAAAGTATCAAAATTAACATGTCCTAATCTACCATGTCATATATTAGAAGACTCAAGCATATAAGCAGAAGATGTATTCTTTTTATTAAAATTAGATACAATTGTCATTATATTCATTTTAAAGAGCTCATCGCTCATATATCTCTTGTATACATAAATCCCACTCTTAGTTAGTACAAATTTGTCGGACTCAAAAATCAATCTAAAACCCTTCTTACTCAATAATGATCCAGACACAAGATTCTTTTGAATTTCTGGAACATGTAACACATTATTGAGAGTAAGTTCTTTTCCGGAAGTC